AAGGTATTGGATCATTAGGATCTCTTCTACTTGGTCCACTAGCAAAATAATCAATTATAAAGTGTCTATAAACAGTAATAATTTCTTGTAAACCATAAATGCGTGCATGATATTCTACAAGTCGTAATATTTGAGTAAATGTTTCTTGTAAATATCGTGCAGTAAATGCATAGCCTTCAGGAAGTGATCTACAATTAAAACCCCTTAAAGCATCACGAAATATATAAATTCGAATAATAACTTGTTGATAAGCAACACTTATTGATTCTTGAATAAAATATTCATTTGGCCCAGGATTGATTGGTATGTCAATTCTTCCTATTAAATTTCTAAGTTCACTTATAATTCTACCAATGTGTCTATTGCCAAAATGGTATAAACCTCCGATTGCTCTTGTTTCTGGTGGTTGTGCATAATAGCTTTCAATAAAAGAAAAATAAAAAATGACTAATAATAAAATTTTAAAGCTCATTATTACAAATAAGAAATAAGCAATTAAACTATATATCTATTTTATAGAGTTTTAGTTTGCCATGTGTTTTTTCTCAAATTTTTTAATTATTAGTTTTAAATAATAAAAATCATTAAAGATGAGTACCATTTGTTCATGACATTTGTACACAATAGTTCGCTATTGTTTACATGTTTTAATAATATTTTAAGTATTAATATTATAATACTTGTCAAGTTCTTAGAGATTTGCCGAGATTTGCCAGAGAGCGGCGTGACCGATCTCTTCGGTGTGCTGGGGGATTTTAATCTGCTGAATTTCATGGGCTATTGCGACGAGCTCAATGCTGGGTATGCCACCGATGGCTACGCGCGGGCCAAAGGCGTGGGAGCTTGCGCCGTGACCTTCACTGTTGGGGGACTTTTACCTGTGATGAAAGAATTCGAATTGGGGCCTCCAACGATGCAAATCACCGTCAAATTCTCGCTGTAGGAGCCCGCGATGGCGTTGAGGACGCTAAATTTTTTCTCTCTTTTTCTTCTTTCTGTGTGGAACATCCATTGTTCTTGCGATTGAAAACTTGTTTATTTTGTGGAGCATGGAATCTCTCATCAATGATTTTGATGGTTTTTGCGTGGAAGATTTGTGTCTTGTTTGGAAACCCTTGTGCTGACATAACACAAGCATTTATGGGAACCAAGACAAAGCTTTTATAGGAACTTGGCTCTTTTGTGGAACTTCTTTCCGGCCAAAGGAGCATTATATTCCTGATTAACAACGGTGGCTGACGGACGAGATAAAGATTACACTGGAGTGGTGAACGCTTTCCACAGCAATGAGCATCGCGAGCAAGGAGCTTTTCGAATGGGTACCATTTTGGTTTCTTTTTTGGTTTTGGGATAAACCATAAACATAATTAATTTAGGTCTGGGTTGCACACTATAGATCTGGCGGTATGAATACTAAAATGTTTTTGCTTCGCCTGTCTTGGTGGAGGACGTGTCCGAAATATAAACACCTCTGCAGGCCATTTATCCTGGGGTTCCAACCTATGTCATCCTCAGCGGTATAAGATGGACGATACCGGAACTCAAACGCCAAGCCCTCACTTGCAGCTTCACTAAGGAGGAAGCACAAGAGACCTAGAACCCAGGAGGAGTCAAGTAGCTGCCAGACGATCCTGGCAATTTATTTGGTCTCATGTTTCTTGGGAGGCACGACAAGACCATGTAAATGAATGAATGATTCAAATGCTAATGCATTAGGGTTCTTCTGATCAATTGAGACTTTATAAAAAACCCGCTTGTTTTTTTTGTTGTCACATCTAGCTTGCGAGTCCCAGAGCGAAAGCATCGCAATCCCTCAAAGCTTCAAGTTGACGATCGTCTCCCTTTTCTTTGACTTGAAAATATAATATAAAGACGAAAATTCAGAATAACAAGCAGCTATAAACCATAAAAAACCAATAAAAAAATGCACTGGTCGACCAAAAACGTTTCCTCGGGACATACTGGTGAGCTGTGAGCTCTCCATGCTGCTGCGAAGCTGTCCGAGTCGGCCGCCTGATCCTCAACGATTTACAGCTCAGTGTAAATCTATCATGGAGAGAGTATGAAGACTTCTTCCACGGCCTCGTGGCAAAGGTGAATAAGACCTCCTACAGAGACTTTTCGTGGCTCAAGCACATCCAGGTTACAATCTAATGGTTTCTTTCTCAAAAATGCTTTCTCTCAATGTTTCTTTAGCTATCTCTGAAACCGGTGACTCTTGGTTTAATTGCCAAAAGCTGAAACTTCCAGCTGCTAGATGGTTGGTGATGGCTGGTCCGTCGGTGCACTGCTTGGGTACGCATAAGCGTGTGATCGCTTGCATTGGAGATGGAAGCTTTCAGGCACTCCTAAGTCTTCCACAAGTACAAGAAAAAGAGGCTTTTTTTTCTTGTTTGTCTCTCAGCACAAGATGTTGGTACCATGTTGCTCATGTTCCTGATTACACGATCGAAGTGGAAATCCACAACGGCCCCTACAACAAGATAAAAAACTGCGATTACACGAATGATCTCCCAAGTTTGTCACCATTTTGCGATGTAAAAATGTTAACAATAAGTGAGGGGCCAGGATTAACCCGGAAATACCATTTTGGTAAATTTTTCTCTTTTTTTTGGATAAACCACTCCTTACACTTATATATGAATTTTCTCAATAATATTGATTATAACAAATTATCTTATCGCATATACTAAAATAGCAAACGAAATTTTAGCCATGGCAAGACTATATAAAACCAAAAGTATAATTTTAGAGCAATGGGAATCCGCGTGTGCCTTGAGGATGTTGGTGAGAAGGTTGAAGGGAAGGTCTGGGTGGTGGCTGTCAAGAGCGAACTCAAAGCCTTGCATTGGGTTCTGGCAGAAAACCGATTACAGGCCAAAGACACGATCTACCTTGTATGTATTGGATGTCCACAGGATCCATGGGTCATGAATACTTTCACGAGAGCTAAAGCACTCTGCCAAAATGCAAAGAAAGAGCTCCAGGTATGATTATCCAAATCCCCCTTTTGTTGATTCATGATCATGGGGTGTTGTAGCTCACTATTCACTGTACGGCGCGGTATTTTGGTGACAACCCTGTTCAGATGTTGCTCGAGAGTGAAGCCAAGGCCGTGGGTGCGGATTACCTGGTGTCTGCCAGATCAAGACCTTGGTAAGTCTGTGGTTCTTGATTGGATCGATCACTCAATTGCTGTCCATTTGATCTCAGGGAGGGGGAGGGTTGTTTTGAATTTCTTAAGCCGGTCAGTCAATTGGAAAACTATGAAAAATATGACGAGATCTGCGTGAAGGCCAAACCCAGAGTGAAAGCATCGCAACCGCAACTCCCAAAAGGATCGCAATCCCCGAAAGGGTGGTTCTAAGATCAATCTTAATTTCATTAATTTTTTGACTTGAAAGTTGACGACCCTTGCTGACCAATCAAGCTGGTGCGCCGAGGAAAAGGATCATCACGTGTGCCGGATCCCGGAGTTTTTGTATGGTTTGAAGTTGTTTTTAAAGTTCTAGCCTTTCAAAATTATCTCGCGCCAGTATTGTGGTAGTCACTGTCTTTTTTCTGGAAGAGTCTTCGTGATAGTTGGAACCCAATTTCTCATCTGTCATCCAAATAACATCTACCAATCCCTAGTCGGCATCGTTTATGGTTGGATAGTGTCGAGTCAAATGGCTGAGATGGAAACTTCAAGTCGTTTCATTCGCTGTTTTTGAGCACCTTGTATAAGTGGCCACCTTTTGATACAGCTTCGATACTTTTACAAGGATCTTTTTCTTCTAATTCTCTGTACAAGATTTACTACTGTGAAAGAGTTAATGTCAAGGAGATACAGCCCCTTACACTTATAATATATATATGTTCTTACCCAAGTTCGCGCTCCATAGATTAACATCAATTAAAATAGTTAAGCTTAAGGAATACTAGCCTTTTTTCGAATAAAAAATAGCAAACGAAATTTTAGCCTAGAGCTTAGACTATATATATTGAAAACCATATATCGTTTATACTAGCAATGGCAGAAGCGTGGAAGAAGGAAGGGAAGGTCTGGGTTGTGGCTGTCAAGAGCGAACTCAAAGCCTTGCAATGGGTTCTTGGGGATAACCGGTTGCACGCCAAGGACACGATCTACCTTGTATGTATTGGGTTTCCACGTGATCCATGGGTGATGAATACTTTCGTGAGAGCTAAAGCGCTCTGCCAAAGTGCAAAAAAGGAACTTCAGGTATGATCCAAAACAAGATGGGATCTTTTGTTGATTCTTGGGACATCTACATTGTTGTAGCTCACTATTCACTATACGGTGCGGTTTGAGCCCAGGTTTGGCATTGAGGATTTGCTCAACAGTGAAGCCAAAGCGGTGGGTGCGGATTACCTTGTGTCTGCCAGATCAAGACGGTAAGTCTATGGTTCTTGGTTGGATTGATCACTCTCAAGTGCTGGATTTAATCTCCAGGATGTGTTGTTTTGAGTTTGTCGAGCCACGGGTAGACTATGACGTGATCTCCGTGAAGACCAAACCCAGAGTGAAGTCAAGTTGACATCCTAAACATTCTAAGATAGATAGGCTTGACTTGACAGTTGACCTTGCCTTTGACCTTCATAATACAATAGTTTTTTGAAAAAGGCCGGATCGATTCTCGGCCCAGGAAATGCCACCTAAAGCGCGTTCTGGGCGCTAGGGTGGTGTTTTTCGGGGGATGGATCCATCAGCGTCAGGAATCTCTTTGTGCGCACAGGTACGATTTCCCTTTTGTCATCATCCGAGAGTTTTTTTTATGGTTTGTAACTGTATGTGCTTGTTATTGAGCTCATTTGGAAGCTATCAGTCTGCTTTTGAGCTACAATGTATGATGCCTGGCCCGAGGTAAGTGACGGTTTTAGATTTTCCGTTTTAAGAAGCTTGAGCTTTTCTTGCTTCTTCAGGAGCAAAGGATTTGTTCCTCTCTCAAGCTGCTGGTAAGCTGTGATAGTGCTTTGATCGGGCGATCGCTGCCTTTTTTTTCCTCGTGAAGGTAATCGAGGTGGTTTCCTCGGGAAGGATTGATTCGAGTCTTCCCAGCATGGTTCTATCTTTGCTTGGATCAGACAGGGCTACAGTCTGCTTCATCGTCATCTCAGGTGTGCTTGTCTCAAGGATCTTTTCCCTTCAAAAACTTCATGTCCTTTTTAGAGTCCTCAATCTGGAGAACACTAACGTTTTCATGGTTGAATCCTCTCATGGAGGCTGGGTCTGGCAAAGACGATTTATTTCCATTGCCTGGTGACCTCGATCTAGAAGTATGCCGCGATCGACTGTGGGAAGATTGTTTAGAATCAGTAATTCCTTCTGAGGGACTTCGATAATGGCTGATGAGAATTCTCTCTCGCTGCTGTAGGTTACTGGGAGTGTTGACTCTCAATGTATTTACGTGAGCCGTTCAACGTAGGACAAGAGGTTCGTACGCTCCTTTTTTTTGTGTGTGTCTCCTGTGTCCTTGTTTTCGTTCTTTATAGATTTTCTTCCCAAAATCGTGGTTCTTTCCGGTGTGGATCGCATTTCTAGTTATAGCTGGTCAAAGAATTTTCACGCGCTCGTACCAGAGCTCGTAGAGCGCGAGCTTTGATACTTGGAAGAATTTTGGTCTTTCTTTGGTACCTGGAAGAATTTTGGTCTTTCTTTGGCTTCTCGATTCACGCTTGATACAGCCCCAGAAGTCACGGAAGAAAGAAGAACTCCAACCAAAATATCGCAAAGTCCACAAGCCTCTAAATCGACCCAAGATTGACTTGGAGAATTGGATCGATCGTTTCTACACTGAGATTCTTGCATTGCATCCAAAAAGTCACAGTTTTTTTGTTGAGAGTGCGACGCCCTTGCAGACCATCTGGCGCCTTAGACCAGTTCGGCCATACGTTATCTAAGTTAATGAATTGTCCACGTGTCTCTGACACTTGTCAAGTTCTTAGAGATTTAGGGTTCTTGCCGAAGAGCTTTTCGGCGTGCCGGGGGATTTCAATCTGCTACTACTCGACTAGCTCATCGCCGAGCCGCGGCTAAATTTCGTGGGCTGTTGCAACGAGCTCAATGCTGGGTATGCCGCCGATGGCTACGCGCGGGCCAAAGGCGTGGGAGCTTGCGTCGTGACGTTCACTGTTGGGGGGCAATGCCATCGCGGCGAGAATTTGCCGGTGATTTGCGTCGTTGGAGGCCCCAATTCGAATGACTATGGGAGCAATCGAGTTCTTCATCTGGAGTCGCGGATTTTACTCAGGAGCTCGCATGCTTCAAGCAAGTTACTTGTGCTCAGGTAGCAAAAATTCATTTATCAAGATCTTGCGATTGAAAACTTGGATTTTTGTGGAGCATGGAATCTCTCATCAATGGTTTTGATGGTTTTTGCGTGGAAGATTTTTGTCCTGCAGTACTTTGTTCTTGTTGTTTTGTGCTTGTTTGGAAATCCTCGTGCTCTCCTCGCTGACACAACACAAGCATTGTTTTCATAGCTTTATGGGAACCAAGACAAAGCTTTTATAGGCACTTGTGGAACTTGGCTGGTTTCTCCATGTATTTTTCTTTCACAGGTTGTTGTCAAGGACCTGGAGGATGCTCACGAGTTGATCGACTACGCCATAGCCACCGCTCTTCGAGGGAGCAAACCGGTTTACATCAGCGTAAGCTGCAATCTAGCCGCAGCAAAGTATCCATCTTTCGGCAAAGATCCAGTTCCATACTGCATCGGGGAGAGGTATACAAACTTTTCTCAATGGAAAACCAATTTAACTTCCAGCTTTTCGTGATCGACAAACTAGGCTGAGGAATCAAAACAGCTTGCATGCTGCCATTGATGCTGCTGCAAATTTCCTCAATGCATCCGCACAGCCAGTTCTCGTTGCCGGTCCAAAGCTTCGAGTAGCCAAAGCCACTGTGGAGCTCGCAAACTCGTGCGAGTATGCCACTGCTGTGATGCCATCGGCCGGAGACACATCCACGCTTCATCGGGACTTACTGGGGAGCTGTGAGCTCTCCATGCTGCTGCGAAGTTGTCGAGTCGGCCGACGCTTATCTCTTTGCCGGGCCGATCTTCAACGGTTACAGCTCCGTGGGATACTCACTCCTGATCAAGAAGGAGAAAGCTATCATGGTCGAGCTCAAGAGAGTGACCATCGGTGGAGGCCTCTCGTTTGGATGCGTGCTCATGAATGACTTCCTCCACGGCCTCGCGGCTAAGGTGAAGAAGCACGCGACCTCCTACGAGAACTTCGTGAGACTTTAGGTGCCTCTGGCGAAAGTTGGCGGCGAGGAAAACTCTGGCGCAAGGCTCCGAGTTAATGTATTCTTCAAGCACATACAGGTTACACCTTTCTTTCAATGGTTTCTTTTCTTTCTCTCTTGTCTCTACAGGGAATGCTATCAAAGGATACGGCAGTGATCTCTGAAACGGGTGGTTCTTGGTTTAATTGTCAAAAGCTGAAACTTCCGGATGGTTGCGGGTGAGAACTGTAATATTTTCTTCATTTGTTTTCTATCACTCGGATTTATTCCAGATATGAATTCCAGATGCAATACGGAGCTGTTGGCTGTTCTGTCGGTGCCGTGCTTGGCACGGACAAGGTGCGAAAGAGAAGCGTGTTATCGCTTGCATTGGAGATGGAACCTTTCAGGTACTCCGAAGTCTACAAGAAAAAGAGTTTCTTTTCTTTTTTTCCCTGGTATGTCTCTCCAGGTTACAGCACAAGATGTTGGTACCATGATTCGTTACGGCCAAAGGAGCATCATATTCCTGATTAACAGCAGTGGCTACACTATTGAAGTGGAGATCCACGACGGAGCCTACAACACGATAAAAAACTTGGATTACACTGGAGTGGTGAACGCTTTCCACAACAATGACGGCAAATGCTGGACAGCCAAGGTATCTGTCAAGTTCATATTCCATCTCACTTTTTTCCTGAAGGTTTCGACTGAAGCGCTCAAAACCAATGTTTAGTATAAAACTCTATTTGAGTGGTAAAAATGTTAAAAATAAGTGAGGGTGCCGGGAGTCGAACCCGGAGATACCACTTTGGTTTCTTTTTTTGTTTTGGGATAAACCACTACACCCCCAATACATTTTGTTTTTCTTATTTCCTTATGAGTTGAATATCTTAGTATATGCTAGAATGTAGACATAATTAATTTAGATCCTGCTTAAAGGATTCCACTAAAAAAGAAATTGATTCTGCTATAATAAAAATATTGTAATTAGTTAAACAATTAATTTGTAGCAGTATAAATATGCACTAAGACTTTATTGAAAAACGCATCCATTGCAGCGCACATTCGGTGTGTTTTCCAGGCAGCCCTAATACGGAGGTCGAAAAATAGCAAACGAAATTTTAGCCACTTAGACGATATATATTGAAAACCACAAGGATACATCTACTAGCAATGGGAGAAAGCATCCGCGTGTGCCTGGAGGATGTTGCTGGGAAAAAGGAAGGGAAGGTGTGGGTTGTGGCTGTGAAGACAGAACTCAAAGCCTTGAAATGGGTTCTTGCGGATAACCGGTTGCACACCAAGGACACGATCTATCTCGTATGTATTGGGCTTCTAGAAGAACCATGGGTGATGAATACTTTCGAAAGAGCTAAAGCACTCTGCCAAAATTCAAAGAAAGAGCTTCAGGTATAATCTGAATGATCCTTAAAACTGGTGCTTTATTATGTTTGCGTTTGTTTAGCTCACCATTCACTACACGGCGCGGCATCGTGATGAAAGCAGTGTTGAGAGTTTGCTCAACAGTGAAGCCAAGGCTGTGGGTGCGGATTACCTGGTGTCTGCGAGATCAAGCAGGTACGCTCTGTGGTTCTTCGTTGGATTGATCACACTCAAAAGTGCTGGATTTAACTTCCAGGATGTGTTGTTTTGAGTTTCTTGAGCCTGAAGAGCCATGTGTAGGAGACTATGACGTGATCTCTGTGAAGCCCAATCGCAAGCCCCCCAAAGCTTCAAGTTGATGATCCCAGAATTGAAAGTTGATCCTATAATAATATAATTTTTTGAACAAGCTAGATGGGTTTTTCTTGTGATAAGCTGGATGTGCTTGTTATTCTGGTTTTGAGCTTAAGATTTTAAGATTCTTTGTGCTAGAACTCAAGTGCACTGCAGGTCTCTTATCGAGTCGGCCGATGCTTACTGCCTGATGCTCACAATACTAAGTGAGGTTCAAAGATCGTTTTGAGAAGCTAGAACTTTGCTTGCTTCTTCAGTGCTTCCAAAGCAAACCACTCCAGGCCAAGAATCGATCTGGAAGTAAAAAAAGTTAGTCAAATTAAGATTGATCTTAGAATGAAATGAAGCTTGGGTTGCTTTCAGGCAGATTTCGTCATTGTTTTCCAATTGACTGTCCGGCTTAAGAAATTCCCTCCCCCTCCCTGAGATCAAATGGACAACAATTGAGTGATCGATTCAATCAAGAACCACAGACTTACCAAGGTCTTGATCTGGCAGATACCAGGTAATCACCCACGGCCTTGGCTTCATTCTTGAGCAACATTTCAACAAGGTGGTCACCAAAACGCCGTGCCGGGCAGTGAATCATGATCATGAATCAACAAAAGGAGGATCTGGATGATCAACACCTGGAGCTCTTTTCTTTGCATTTTGGCAGAGTGCTTTAGCTCTGGTGAAAGTATTCGTGCATGGATCCTGTGGAGATCGTGTCTTTGGCCTGTAACTGGTTTTCGACCAGAACCCAACGCAAGGCTTTGAGTTCACTCTTGACAGCCACAGACCTTCCCTTCAACCTTTTCAAGCTCCTATTCCATTTCATGGTGTGAACATGAACAATGAGATCACACTTCGTTGCAAATCATTTGAAAAAATTATTTTGGATAATACTGTGAATATGAATCTCTTCTTGTGACCAAACGTGTGAACTTCTTAACAAAACTTTGCACACAGATTGCATGGAAAACTCAGGATCTTCAATAACGACCTTTATTATAAGATAATTTTTGTCATGAAATAAATTGATCTTATACGTGTAAGGAGAAAATATCTATATCTCCCAAGTTTGTCACCATTGTCTCCATCTCTTTTCTTGCACAAAGCGTGTTGTTTTAAAAAATGTTGTGAGGGTGCCAGGATTCAAACCCGGAGATACCATTTTGGTGATTTTCTTTTTTTGGGATAAACCACTACACCCGCATTTGCCGTCATTGTTTGAAAAGTAGGTTTTGATCGTGTTGCTGGGGCTGTCGTGGATCTCCACTTCGATCGTGTAGCCACCGCTGTTAACCAGGACTGTGATTGGGGCGTAACGAATAATGATACCAACATCTTGTGCTTTAACCTGGCAGAAAAAAAAACTCTTTTTCTTGTACTTGTGGAAGACTTAGGGGTGAGACAAATCGGGATCAAAGCGCACCGCGCTAGCGGACAGAACAGGAAAACCCTAATGGACACGTGGCGAGGTGTGTCGTGTAACACTCCCCCCCAAACCGAAGCCACTCACCAAACCAAATCTGTCACGTAGGAGCTGAAACTAGTGTGGCCCCAACGGCTTAGTGAGAAGATTGGCTGGCATATCCTGTGTCCCGAGATGTTGGACGGCGAGGGTGCCACCGTCAACCAACTCACGCACATAGTGAAATTGGACTTCAATGTGCTTCGAGCGGGCA